GCTGTTCTCCCAGAATGACAGCTGGACATACTAATCATTTTTTGTAGTAAGAGCACTCAAAGTCTACTCTTTTAGAAATTTTCAAGAATGCCATACGTTGTTATAGTCATCATGCTGCACAGTAAATCTCCTGAACTTATTACTCCTGTATCATTAAAATTTTGTATCCTTTGTCCAACATATCTCCAGTTCTTCCCCATTCCCCAACCCAATCCCTGATAATGATCATTTCTACTTCTATGCACTTGACTTTTTAAGATTCCACATATAAGTGAAATCATGGAACATTTGTCTTTCTATAGCTGGCTTATTTTACTTAGCATTATGTCTTTCAGGTTTATCCATGTTGTCACAAATCAGAAACTTCCCTTTTTATATAAGGCTGAATTATCATAAGAGGTCTTTACAGTTGCTCTACATTCTGGCCAGCAGAGGCACACTACCAGAGGGGTTTGCAACGCTCAGCAAGAAGCACAGTCGTTGAGTCTCCCAGGCATGAATCTCTGGTCAGCTTCCACACTCAGCCCCAGTGCTCTCCTTGAAACTTCTCCAGGCCAGGAGATAAGGGTAGAATGGGAATTACCTGCAAAGAGAACATCTGGCCCCACTCATTCCCAGCTGCCAAGCTTTCACCCAGTCAAGCCCTACCCATTGGGCTTCTCTACCCTTCCCAAGGTCAGAAAACAGTGGCATGGTGGCAATTAACTGCAGAAGGAGCATCTGTTCCACCCAGGCCCAGCATCCAAGTGGCTAATATATCAAGCCATGGTGCTCTGCTTTAGGTCACCCTAAGACTAGAGGCAAACCCATGCCCAGGAGTATCTATGGAGCAGAGCCTCTGGTTCTGTCACCCTGCGTGGTTATGTAGCAATCTCAGACACCTTGTTCCACCTTGACACCTAGAACATGGTCTCACCCAACTACAGATTCAAATATGTAGTCCTGGCCAGCCACGGAAGACAAGCAAAAATACTGCTCAATCAAAGGCAAGTTCAGCCGGCAGCTCTTATTATAGAGTCCAGCCAATGCTCTCACCAGACCATGGAACACAGCCAGAAATTCTACTCAACCCCAGAGCACAGTTGATAGTTCAGCCCAGCTAGACAGCATAACAGCAAGGTCTTCCTGCTCAAGGTCACCACAAGCTAGCTTAATTAGAATCCCAGGTTTGATCAAATAGTGAAGGTATACATTGCCAAAGAACACAGACAAAGGTGGAAGAGATGTCCATTTCCTCAAATGCATGGGCATCAATGCAAGGACACAAAAATTATGAAAAATCTGAAAAAAATACAACACCATCATAAAGAAATTAATGAAGCTCCAATAATGGACCCTGAACAAGCGAAGGTTTATAAAATGACTGTGGAAGAATTCAGAATAATTATCTTAAACTCAGTGAAACCCCATCTCTACTAAAATACAAAAAATTAGCTGGACATGGTGGCCTGTGCCTGTAGTCCCAGCTACCTGGGAGGCAGAGGAAGGAGAATTGCTTGAACCCTGGAGGTGGAAGTTACAGTGAGCCGAGATTGTGCCACTGCACTCCAGTCTGGCGCCTGATGACAGAGCAAGACTCTGTCTCAAAATAAATAAATAAAATAAAATAAATAAATGGTTTGGGGAAAACTAGATATTCACATGCATATTCATATGGACTCTTATCTCACCCCATATACAAAAATCCTCTTGGTCTTCAACATAAGGTCCCATTCCCTTCTGGGTTTCTGGGTTTATTTGCATTTTCAGCTTAACTGCTGCACTGAGGGCAGCCATTAGCTCATCTAGTGATTGTCCCATAACAGGAGCAATGTGCTTTTCTATGTCAAACTAGATAGTGAGGCTGAAAGGGAAGCAAGAGAGTAAAAAAAAAAAAAAATACGGCTTTGCCAGTGGTGTCAGACTTAAAGCCTGGAGAACAGGGATGGGGCAGTCTGAGTGACAGGGTGCTCCCAGGGAGTCCCAGACACCTTGTTGGGTCTACCTTGACCTCTGATCTGCAACCCTCACTGGAGTCATCACTCCATGACTTTTCTCCTCGAGCCCAAAGTTTGAGATGAGCCTCTCTCCTTCTGACATGCCATCATCAGTCTTACATGCTGGAATTGACTCTCACCATCCTTTATTTGAGAAACACAAGCTGAATATCCGCTAGGGCCAGTGAGTGGCTTGCTCAGCTTTGGTTTCAGCAATCCATAAGGGACACATTCAGTTTCTTCAGGGATCTTACAATCTAGCAGAGAAGATAGACAGCATACAAATATGGTATTTATATCTGTGATGACTGAGCCCAAAGGCAAATGCAGGCATTATAGTGTGGGTGAGAGAAACTGTCTTAGACTTGGAGTTCAAACCTAGCTGCAGAAGTGAATAACTGCTTTTCCATGTACAGCCATTGTCCAGAAGTAAGTATAGAGTCCATATTTAATTCTGAAGATGTACAACTCTGAATTGCTGTAAAATTTCATTCTGAGTATAACACATGCCCCCCTGTCAGTGTGACTCAAAGCATTTCAGAACTTGTCAGCAAGAGGGTCACCCTTTTCTCGTGAATTGAAAGCTGACTTGTAGCTGGCTTTTTCCTAGCCCCAGCACTGAGTCCCCGTCTGAGTTCCTTTCTCCATATCCTGATTTGGAGACATTCTTTTTCTCTTTGGGATAAAACTCCTTAATCTCACACCTCCCTGATGAAATCTCCACCCACTTGTTCTCAGAATACCGTCCACAGCCCAGTTACTTCTCTCAGAGCATGGAGCAGCTCCAGATGCTCTTTCTGCACTGTGAGACATCCTGAGGACCTGGGATAATGAAGAAGAAGTTTAATTGACTGGCTCGAGATGAGGATGTTATGACAAGTATGTTAACTCTGGGCCAGGAAGTGCTTTAACTGAGGTCTAGTTCCAAGGTGAATCTTCTGAGGAGGCGTATTAGTAGTAAATGGGTAAACAAACAACCGACCAAGGAGCAACCCTTCTCCTCTGCAATATGTGACTGATCCCATGACAAGCAGCTGAGTCACTCTTGGGGAGGATGAGATGAGCAAGCCAAAAATGGCAACTTGGGAAGATGTCCAAGCTGTCGTGAAGTTTATGTCATTTAATTTTCTTACTATCGGATTTCAGAAGCACAAAATTGGATTAACGAATATCCTCTGTTCATATTACATGCTTACAATTCATCCGTGCTTGACCTTCTTAATTAATGTATCTATCTGCTAATCTATTATTTAAATAATAAACACAGAAAAGTTCATCATCCAAGAGCAAATGGTAACTTTCATAGTAAGTTATATGCATCTGTGTAATTCACCCTTCACCCATGTCCCTGCCTGTCTCATCTAACATAACCATGATACTAAATCTTGTATTCATCATTCTTTGCTTCCCTTTTTGTATATTTCATTACTTTTTATTTCTAAAAAGTGTTATTTTTTTTTCTATTTTAACTTTCATTTTTGAGGTATTATATACCAAAAAATCATCCATTTAATTATCCAATTCTATGAGTTTGACTAACATATATGGTCCTGTAAACCCCACTACAACTAAGATATACAACAGTTCTATCACCCCAAAATATTCCCTCATGTGCTTATTAAATCAACCCCTTCCCCAGACCAACACTTGGCAACCACTGACCTATTTTCAGTTCTGATAATTTTGCCTTTTCCAGAATGTCATATAATTTGAATCATATAATATGTAGTATGTAAAGTCTGACTTCTTTTGCACAGAATAATGCATTTGAGATTCATACCTGTTGTTTTATGAATCAGTAGTTGATTCCTTTTTTTATTGCTAAGTAGCCTTCCATTGCATAGATATGCCATTTTTAAAACTCTATTCATCAGTTGAAGAGCATTTGGGGTTCTTCAATTTCAGGTCAGTTATGAATAAAGCCACTATAAATATTCCTATAGGTTTTTTTGTGAATATACAACTTTATTTCTCTTGAATAAATATCTTAAAATAGGATTTCTGGGGCAAATTGTAAGTTGTATGTTTAATTTTTTGGGGAGACTGCCAACCCGTGTAATTTTGCATTTCTCTCTGCAACGACTTGCACTTCTCGTTGTTCTACATCCCCCTATTAATTGATATTGTCATTTATTTTTCATTTGAGCCATTCCAATGTATACAGTGGTATCTCACTTTGCTTTTACATTGCATTTCTCTAATGACTGATTATGTCGAGTATCTTTTCATGTGCTTACCTGCCACCCATGTATCTTCTTTGTTGAAATGTCTTTTCAAGTATTTTGGCCATATTGTCCATTTTATTGCTTATTTTAGAGAATTTAAAAAATGTTCTTGACACAAGTCTTAGTCAGATATATGTTTTACAATATTGTCTCCAAGTGTGTGAATTTTCTTTGCACTTTCTTAGCAGTGCCTTTTGAAAAGCAGAAGCTTCTAATTTTGATGAAGCCCAATATTTATTTTGAATTGTAAATTCAAAATAAAAAGATATGCGTTTTTGGCATATCTGAAAAATTTTGTATAACTCAAAGTCACAGAGTTTTTTTAATGTTTTATTGTAGACGTTTTATAGTTTAATTTTTTAAATCACCATCTATTAATTTTTATATCTAGTATTAGGTATGATTTATTTTACATATGGATGTCCAATTGTTCAGCGTCATTTGTTGAAGTGACTATTACTTATCCATTCATGACTCAAGAAAGGATTATGTCGTACTCATTCCCAGGAAGTTGTAAGGGACAGACTCTGCTCCATAGCATGTGAGTTGAAAGAAGGAAGAAGGGAGGAGGAAGGAAGCAGTGGCAGCTCCCAGGTGAGAGGTATGTGGACACCAATCCTGCTTCCAGGTTCAATGGCATTGGTTGAACGTTATGGAAGTACCCAAGCTAGAAACCTAGTCTTGGGTGTGTGCCTGGCCGTCACCTCCCCTAGTTGTGAAAGCTGCAGCATGCCCAGGCTGTGCATCACACACCCTGCACAGGATAAAAGCACTCCTGCCCTGGGTTCCGCATCTGCAGTCTCCTCGGGAACAGCCTTCTCCTGCCTCCTCTGCACCCGGTAAGTGTCCAGCAGGGGACAGGGCTGGATCTGGGATATTAGAGCAGAAAGCTAAGGCCATAGCAGAAGAGATGGAAACAGAGAGGCTTGAAACAAAGACCCAGAGACAGGGCTGGGAGAGGGCAGCACTGGGGGAAGGGGGCCAGGAGGAAGACCCTGCAGGACCTGACAGCAATTCCATGACTTGCAAAGGCCACAGGGCTCACGGTTCCCTCCCACCCTCTTTCTACTCAGACTGGCACATTTCCTGTAATATCCATTCTCCAGAATTCTTCTTCCCAAAAGGGTGTATGTCCTAGGGGTTCTTTGGAGAACTAGAAACATGGATGCCCACTTAGACTGACAGCAATCTGTCCCACGTGGAGAGCAGAGTGAGAGGCATCTGGCCTGTCCCAGGAACCCACATCAGCCTCCCTCACACTCCTGCAGCTCTGGCCTCAGGGGGAGCTGTTCTTAGAGACCTTGGTCCATAGATTCTGAACTAACAAGTGGCTTTGTTGTGTCCAGGAAAACTCAACTCCTGCCAAGATGTCCTGCCAGCAGAACCAGCAGCAGTGCCAGCCCCCACCCAAGTGCCCCTCACCCAAGTGCCCCCCAAAGAGCCCAGCACAGTGTCTGCCTCCAGCTTCCTCTGGCTGTGCCCCAGTCTCCGGGGGCTGTGGCTCCAGCTCCGAGGGCGGCTGCTGCTTGAGCCACCACAGGCGCCACCACCGATGCCGGCGCCAGCGCTCCAACTCCTGTGACAGGGGCAGTGGTCAGCAAGGCGGGGGTTCCGGCTGTGGCCACCGTTCTGGGGGCTGTTGCTGATCCAGTTCCTGAGGCCGAGATAAGCGATTTTGGAGGAAACAAGAATCCCAAGGGACGAGGAGCAGCCCCACGCTGATGCACGCTTTACAGGCTGAGCTGGGGGTTTTCCAGTGGAGGATCGGAGCTCTCCCCAGAAAGCACTTCCTGTTTTATGTCCAAAATGTCACCTATTCCCTTACCCCTGTACCTGTGGAGGATTGGCAGTGCTTGTGCCTGACATTGTCAAAAAATAAAGCTTCTTGTCCTCATCGCCACCAGCGTCTCCCTTGGCATTTCACTCTGTCTCTCCCTAGGTGGGTCTGAAAGTGTGCCCTCCCACCTGCCCCTGAGATCCCACACCTCCACAGAGAAAGTGCAGAATTCTAGCTCTAGGCCTGGAAAATTCAGGAGTCTGTCGAGTCTTTTTATGCTGGAATTGTGAGGCAGTTGAGGAGGCGGGATGTGATGAGGGGATTGTACTGAGGCCTCTAACTATCAGAAAAGAATGTTGCTCTCACAGTGGACTCCCCAGGCTCCTAGGAGGAGCCACTAGCTGTTTCTGACAGCCCAATTACAAAGCAGTGACTATGTAGCAGGCAATTGTCAAAAAATAGGCAGAATTAATATTTCTTCTGAAGGGGTAAATTTGACTCTCTAATGGACATTTTTGGTTGCCAAAACATAGAGGTAGGAAGAGAATTTCTGGCATCTAGCAGGTAAAGGCCAGGGGTGCAGCTGAGCCTCCTACCAAGCATAGCACAGCCCCGCAATGGAGAATTATCTGGTCCCAAAGCCAATAATGCCAAGGGTGAAAACCTTTGGACTAAAATTAAAAGATGGGTAAAGAAGCCAGGTGCAGTGGCTCACACCTATAATCCCAGCACTTTAGGAAGCCAATGCGGGTGGATCATGAGGTCAGGAGTTCAAGACCAGCCTGGCCAACATGGTGAAACCCCATCTCTACCAAAAATACAAAAATTAGCTGGGTGTGGTGGCAGGTGCCTTTAATCCTAGCTACTTGGGAGGCAGAGAATTGCTTGAACCACGGAGGCAGAGGTTGCAGTGAGCTGAGATCAAAACACTGCACTCCAGCCTGGGTGACAGAGCAAGACTCCATCTCCAAAAAAAAGATGGGTAAAGAAAAAGATGGCCTTGGCCAAACATGGTGGTTCACACCTATAATCCCAGTACTTCGGGAGGCCGAGACTGGTGGATTACCTGAGGTCATGGTGAAACCCCATCTCTCCTAAAAATACAAAAAAATTAGCTGGGTGTGGGGGTGGATGCCTGTAATCCCAGCTACTCAGGAGGCTGAGGCAGAAGAATCTCTTGAATCTGGAAGGTGAAGGTTGCAGGAAGCTGTGATTGTGCCGCTGAACTCCAGCCTGGGCAACAAGAATAAAACCCTGTCTCAAAAAAAAAAAAAAAAAACTCCATCTCAAAAGAAGAAGAAGAAAAAGAAGGAGGAGGAGGAAGAAGAAGAAAAGGAGGGGGGGAGGAGGAAGGGGAGGAGGATGAGGAGGAGGAGGAAAAAGATGGCCTCAGGAAGAACAGATAACTTCACATACACAATTAAATTCCCAGACAGAGAAGGTAGAGGGGGTAGAATTAAGTAAAGCTAAGAGGTTCTGGAGTAGGGGAGAAATGGAGCTGAGAGCTTCGGGAATGTAGTAATGTGGAGGATGTGGACTGAGACCATTAAGAAAAAGAAAGAGAGAAAATGAGAAGTATTGTTAGGCTTATAAATTAGTATAATTGTAAGATCAAAAACGTATTTGCTTATTAGGTGCTAGAAAACCCTTAAGTGACTCCTATGAACTCATTTAATTTTCTAACTCCATAATCCAGTGCTCTTAATAACCATATTTTGCAAACAGGAAAATTCTTGGTCCAACAGCTCTGCACAAGACCCAGGTCACACAGCCAGTAAGTCCATGATCCTGGCTGATGCCACCTGTCCCTTCCTGGAGGCTTCTCAAGAGATCTTTAGAAGCAATTAGTCTTTTCTACTTTACTTTTTTTGGCCTGTTTAACTTCATTTTTTAGTTTGATATTTTAAAAGCTGCAGAGCTAAGAGCCCAACTATGTGAATCATAACTTTAATAAAACTTTTGTAAAAATTTTTCTTTGTCAGGTTTTGGATGTGTGACACTTCCAAAGTTAAGTGAATCATCTCTTTACAGATAAAGCTCACTCTGTCTGCCAGATTGTTGAAATAGTGTAGAGAAAAAGTTCATTAAAGCCATTCAGGTGGTTCTTAAGCCAAAGGAACATCATAGGACATGAATTAAATGACAAATTGAAAATGTGGGAGAAATCAGTGTGGAGCTGGGCCCAACAGCCAAAAACAAATAATATACAGAGCACATTTGGAGTTTATTGAATAAAAAATATTCTTTTGAAAATATTCTTTGAAAATATTGAACTGTCTATTTATTTTACTCCAAAATCTAAGAACTCAGGATTTCTAAAATCTCTGGAATTTAAAAAAGAAAAGGGATCTTAACGCGTTTGGTGTGAGAAATTCTCTAACCAGTTCAGATCCCTCTCCAGCTCATCACAGCTGCTGAAGGTAGGAACCACAGCTTTCCTGTTTGACTTATCACCACAAGCTACTTGTTACTCAAAACTGGAGACAGTCTTGGGTAATGCTCCACCATGGGACAGAAACAGTGTCAAGTCATGATTCAAATATGTCTCAAAAAATATTGAGAATGCATAATGTCAGCTGAGAGGTTGGAGTTGCTACCCTGTGTGTGAGGCCTTGCCACATGGACCCCACACCAAGGAACACACAAATCTAGCCAGAACCACTCCACTAGTCCAGACGCTGAGGACCACTGTTTGGAATGGGGCTAGAATTCATGAGACACATTCCTAACTGCATATTGGCTGCAAGAGAAAGGACCCAACCCAGACTTTGAAGAAATAAAGCATACCACCTTTTCTACGGAAAGAGGATTGGAAGCTCAAAGCACCTATCAAGGTCAAGCTCCTGATGTCAAACTGTCTGCCAATTCTTACATACACTGTGAGTCCACTCAAGGAGGGAGAAGAAATAGGAGTTGGACCAACTTAAGGAGTTTGAACCTGCAATACCAGGACAAAGACAGATGTGTGCAGTTTGTGACGTTTCCCCTAAAAGTGGACCCCAACATGTCAACTTATAAAGACCACTTTGACCAAGTCTAGGAACCAAAAATTAATAATTAATAATTTTTTATTTAAAAAGTGTTTATTCAACATCTACTATATGCAGACACCACTATAGGTACTGGAGATACATTAGAGAAAATGAAAGAATAAGATGTTTTCAGGGAATTTCCATTCTGTTGGGTCCATTCAAGACAGTACTCTAATTTTCTTGTAAAAGAGCAAGGTAAGGTATCAACATCCCTCTATCCAGTTGGTTTTCCATATGCTTGGATTGAAGGCGCGGCAGTGTAGCTTTTTTTTTTTTTTTTTTTTTTTTTTTTTTTTTTGAGACAGAGTTTAGTTCTTGTTACCCAGGCTGGAGTGCAATCTTGGCTCACCACAATCTCCGCCTCCCGGGTTCAAGCAATTCTCCTGCCTCAGCCTCCCGAGTAGCTGGGACTATAAGCACACGACACCATGCTCAGCTAATTTTTGCATTTTTAGTAGAGACAGGGTTTCACCATGTTGACCAGGATGGTCTCGATCTCCTGACCTCGTGATCCACCTGCCTCGGCCTCCCGCAGTGCTGGGATTATAGGCGTGAGCCACCGTGCCCGGCCAGCAGTGTAGCTTTAATAAACACAATGAAAGACACTAGCCTGAGAAGAACATTGATGATTAAATATACTGGCTTTGCTGCTACAAAAAGCTCATGTAGTAACATCTTACTTTTATACTACAGGCAGCAATCAAGTAAGAATAAAGGATGAGTTACCGGTGGTGATGGAAAAAATGTTAGTGCACAAGGTGGCCTATGTTCTCAGACCCTTGCCAGTGGAAAAAATAATGTTTGCACCAGACATATGAAGGTACTCTCATTTTCTTCATATTAGACCTTATCTCAAAGTTGGCAGCCACAGCTAAAGGCTTTTCTGTAGCAGGATAAACAGCCACATTTATAATAATAATAATATTTTCTCAAAAGCCATTTTTTTTTTAACTTTCATTTGAAGTTCAGGGGCACATGTGCAGTTTTGTTATACAGGTAAACATGTGTCATGAGGATTTGTTGTACATATTAGTTTGTCACCCAGGTATTAAGCCTAGTACCCATTAGTCATTTTCCCTGGTCCTACCCCTCCTTCTACCCCCTTCTCTGGTATGTCCCTGTGTCTGTTGTTCCCTCTGTGTGTCCGTGTGTTCTCATTATTTACCTTTCACTTACAAATGACAACATGCAGTATTTGGTTTTTCTTTCTTGTGTTGCTTTGCTAAGGATAATGGCCTCCAGCCCCATTTATGTCCCTGCAAAGGACATGATCTCATTATTTTTATGGCTGCATAGTATTCCATGATGTATATGTATCACATTTTCTTTATCCAGTCTATCACTGATGAGCATTTAGGTTGATTCCATGTTTTTGCGATTGTGAATAGTACTGCAATGAACATATGTGTGCATGTGTCTTTATGATAGAATTATTTATATTCTTTTGGGTATATACCTAGTAATGGGATTGCTGTGTTGAATGGTATTTCTCTCCTTAAGCCTTTTAGGAATAGCCACACTGTCTTCCACAGCAATCGAACTAATTACACTCTCATCAACAATATATAAGCATTCCTTTTTCTCTGAAACCTCACCAGCACTTGCTATTTTTTGACTTTTTAATGATAGCCATTCTGACTGGTGTGAGATGATACCTCATTGTGGTTTTGATGTGAATTTCTCTAATGATCAGCGGGATGTTGAGTTTTTTTTAAAAATATGCTTCACCTCTTCTTTTGAAAAGTGTCTGTTCATGTCCTTTGCTCACTTTTTAATGGAGGTTTATTTGTTTTTTCTTGTAGATTTGTTTAAGTTCTTTATATATGCTGGATATTAGACTTTTGTCAGATGCATAGTTTGCAAATATTTTCTCCCATCCTGTAGGTTGTATGTTTA